TGTGTGTTTTTTGTAAAAAGTTTCCAATAAAATCTGTCTAAATGGGCATACACATCTAACTTTTGAAGAAGAGTGAGATAAATTGACTGCTAACTTTGTGTAAGGCGATATGCTTGCAACTATGAAAAAAATTAGAACTCACAGCTCTGGGGTGTCTCTTCCTCGAATCGGCACTTTCACTCCAGCATCATGAGCAACATTCGGGCCTCTTCCAACGAAAAAGTAGCCATCTAAATCAGACAATTATTTGTTGTTGTGAAAAGGACTTTCTCGAGCAGACCTGGAGCTTTGTCAGCATCAAAAGTGAATCCAAAGATTTTGATCGTTCGCTTATCCAAGAGAAGAATGGGACCCGAACCAACCGAGTACCTGAGATGCAGAAGGATCAACTACAGATACAAGCATATTCTCACGCTTTTGAAAAGAATCTCACCGGCTGCCTTTCAATTCGCTGGCCAGAAATTGAGGTCGTGGAATTATGAGGTTTTCAGGGATGGCTACCGAACCGAAGTTGTGCTAGAATACATAGCATAAATATAGGAAGAAATAAACTATAAGAAGTGAGCACTTTTCTATTTGAACGGTAACACGTTACCTCATATTTATAGCAAAAAAGTGAAAAGCTCTTAAAGTTGTTGATCTTGTGCCGTCCTGGAAGGGTCAGAACAACTTGCTCGGCATTATCGTATTTTCCCAAAGGAGTAATCCTGAATGTGAAAAACGATTTCATTAAATTCAAATTTGGTTTTCAAGGATCGCAATAAATGACTGATCATGCTGTAGGAGAGACCTGCTCACCCAAATTCGAAGGATGGCACTTTGGTGCCGTCAATTGTCGGACTCTCTTTGCGATCCACCCAAAAGTAGAGGTCTGAAATGCATTTCTACAGAAATAAATTGTTGCTCTCTTTCGTTTAACATACATAGAGTTTTTATCAGTGAACAAGAATGCTGCTTATATCGATAAAATATGTATGTATGCCCAAAAATATGGTCACTGTTCATTCGTTAATGACTTTCTTATTCCCAAACCATATGTAAGCTTTAATTTTTCATTTTGAGCGCTATTTTGGTCTTAAATTTCCACCCATAAACGGATCTTATTTTTTTACTATTGCGGTACTGATAGAGTCTGAAGTTATATTGTTCACTTGGCGCAATTTACCATAACTTCAGTACGACTTTACGGTATTGTTCATCATATGGGCTTGGCGTACCAAATAAACTCCTGTCCAATGCAAATACTGCCTCATGCAAGTATTGAAGCAGCATAAAATAATCTATCGTAATCGTACCGTAATGGATTGAATTAAAGGATTCATTTGTATGGAGAAATCTAAGTTTCCAACCCTTCAAAATGGTTCGTTGAGGCAGACCTAGTTATACATTATTAACGATTAGAAATGCCCACATTTTCTAGGACACCCTGGATATACTATTTAATTGATCACGCAATTCATCACTATAAATCACTATGAATATAACATTTGAAAGAACTTTTAGCTAGTTTTTGCTTTGTTTTCTGTACTATTCCAGTCCCATTACTGTAAACAGTGAGACAAGCGGTCCATTTAACGAAGCAAGCGCCTAATGAGTACTAGTACAATAATTACTCCCTCCGGAATAGTTTTAATCGAACTGTTTATCGGAGTGTTTTCTCATTATCCGCAATGCACGACAATTAATTGCTGGCCTTTTGCCACAGACCTTAAAGGTCGTCCCCACTAAATCACTTTCTTTGCAACCTTCAACTCACAACATGTCAGGGCAATGACAATGGTTGCAAGTCCTTGGTAGTCGTGTAGCGGGATAACAGTGGTAGTTATAGATTGTAAATTACCGTACGATAATAGTATCCCGCCGAGATTGTATCAGCGCCTAGCCACTGCGATGCGAAAGACAAGCTACAGCCTTACAACATCTACTTAAGTGACTCCATTCAACAATACTGCTTTCTTAGCCACGTCCTCGGAAGACTTACGGGTGTTTGTTGGCAGGTTTTGACGCGACGATATTGTTCTACGATTCGAGCTGTCGGCCTAGGTGTTCTTATGACACGAGGAACAATGAGAGTGAAGTGCCATAGTGGGGTTCCCTTTGTCTACTCTACTACCTGCATACGACCAGCTACCCAGCCCGTCGCGCACTTACAATTGTCTGAAAGCGCGACCTCGAATCAAAGAAACATGCCGCCTCAACTGCATTCACCGAATGTCACATTTTTAGGTAGAGAATTAGCGTCGCGTTATTCTCGAGCGAAGTAAAAAAAGTAAAGTGATTTCTAATTTCGGCGTTACGCCCGATTGCGTAGGCAAACTTTGTGTAACTGCCGAGCAAAGTCTGACATACCAGGAGCATTTCCGTTGTACGTGAAATTCACAATTTGCAACGTGGTATCATTTACAACATAGACTTTCCCTCGAACGTCGCCGTCCGCCAAGTTGGGCAACTCGCCAATGAACGTTCCAAAGTCTGGATCGTACGAATTTATTTCTTCGGCGAGGGCTGTAAACAAACAAATTATACGCTGCAGTAACCGGT